CTTTTAGGTGTGCTCGTCCTTAAGTTATTTGTTTTTGTTATTTTTTTTTTATGGCCTTATAACAATTATATTCAACAATTTTTATGAGCTCGAGGCCGTATTAAGTGCAAACTTATTGTGGAAAAGCAACAATAATTTGAAATAAATAATATAAAAAAAAACTTTTTAATATACAACGCTTTTATAAATGGACTAAAAAGTAGAAAATAATATTTCTCAGTCCCATAGAATTTGTTTTGATAACTTTTGATTTTGAAATTTTAGCAAAAGTCATTATAAACAATCTATGAAATTGAAAATGAAAAACGTGGAGCGCATGCAATACAAAGCATTCGATTTAATTGACAATAGTCAAACTACATAACGTAGACCTAAAATTTCTACAGCGAAAGTAGAACTTTGAAATCGATTTTAAGCGGTCGTTATTCATATACCCACATACATACATACATATACTACTTTTCATATCAATTCAAGTGTATTACATGCGCCCCACGCTTTTCATTTTCAATTTCATAGATTGTTTATAATGACTTTTGCTAAAATTTCAAAATCAAAAGTTATCAAAACAAATTCTATGGGACTGAGAAATATTATTTTCTACTTTTTAGTCCATTTATAAAAGCGTTGTATATTAAAAAGTTTTTTTATATTATTTATTTTCTACTTTTTAGTCCTGTCTGAATAAAATTTTGCAATAGATATTAAAATAATTCAACGATATTAATAGAAAGGTGCACACACATGCATTTACATATGTATGTACATACAAACGAGCACCAATTAATTTTATTTAAAAAAATGGCGTGTCGTCTATTTCCGCTGTAGCAAACGTAGTACATAGGGCGACATCTAGATGTCATCAACCTCGCCCTATTCACTACAGATGTCGCCCTATGCACTATGCTTTTTTATAGGAACTTTTCAAAGCAAAGGTTTTATGGTGTCGGACACACAACATTGAAAGTTTCTGGATCCACAACATTGAAAGTTTCTGGACACACAACATTGCAAGTTGATAAAAGCGTTGTAAAAATGGTAGAAGTGATAGCTATTTCGTAAATCACCACATTTCCTCGTCAGACTTCTTTCAGTAGGATTCGAACCGACGATCACCACTGACTCAGCCAGTTGCCTACGCACTGTGCTAAGTTTGTCTTGTTTATTCTTGTTGCTTATTTTCCACTACTTCACTTTGCTAAGCCAACTACAATCAAGCGCAGCTATTCCGCTGCAATTCACTTGATCATGTGGTTGGTGGTTTTGTTGGTTTTTGTTAATATTTCTATTATTAGAATGTTTAACTTTTAGGTGTGCTCGTCCTTAAGTTATTTGTTTTTGTTATTTTTTATGGCCTTATAACAATTATATTCAACAGTTTTTATGAGCTCGAGGCCGTATTAAGTGCAAACTTATTGTGGAAAAGCAACAATAATTTGAAAAAATGGTGGAAGTGATAGCTATTTCGGAAATCACCACATTTCCTCATCAGACTTCTTTCAGTAGGATTCGAACCGATTCGAAACCGGCTAAAAAGTCGTTTATGATAGCCGTCTACGATTCGTTTTCGAGTACTTTTTCGCTTGAAATTGTCGATCGCCTACGAACAGTCGTAACCGGATCGAAAAAGCATTCGTATGCGAATATTATATATTATAAAAATTGTGGTTCAAGAAAAATTTCCAACAGAATGAAAATTTTTTCTTGTGCTACCAAATTACTACAAGCCTCGTGCTTTTATTTTTTTTTTGTTTTATCGTTTACGAGCCTTTTTCTAACTTTTCGCCGATCGAGAATCCATCGTAAAACATAATATTCGTAAAATGTACGTTTTCTTGCTGGCTGGGTTGTTTTTCTATACGATTACTTTCTGAAAATGTTTGCGTGTATACTTATATATATAATATATGTAATTAAAAAATTTTAGCTACCATTTTTAGCCACAACGACTTTTTTTAGCTCTTTTTTAGCCCTTTTTTAAAAGGAATTTGGCTACCACTAAAAAGATTCGCGGCAACACTGGTGCCAATTACGTTTGAATGAATTTGCGTTCGCTTTGTTACGCTCTCGCATGTATTTGCATGTGATGCTTACGCTCTTTAAGCAGGCGCTCACTCTCTGTCCATGCTTGTATATGAGCAAATTTCATGATGCAATAATACAAGGTGGTATCAGTTGTGACAGCTCGATTTGACACTGCCTTAGCTCAGTAGAATGTGAAGAAAAACGGGAAGAAGTGAATACCCATATAGGGGAAAAATATAAAATTTCACATTTTCTCCTAAACAAAATTTGCTTTTTTATAGTAAATTCGTTATGAAATGAAATAAAATAAGATAAACGACCTTTTTAAGAAAACAAAGTGTGTATACTGAGAAAAAATAAAAAAACATTCAACTATATTAATGGGCAAATAATAGTTAAAGAAGTAACACTGTTTCACGTAAGGCAGTCAATATGGCAAATTTGACATCGATATAACTGTTGCCAACTTTGTGCCTTTCGCAAGAAATTAAGTGCGTTTAGGGAATTAAAAGGCGAAAATTGTTTAGTTTAGCGCTTGTTTTGTTCTTTGGTGCTCTTTTCAAGGCAATTTTATAATAAAAACGTGATTCTATGGTGACATTGTATTTGACTTACACATATGTTAGTGTTTGGCCGAGCTTCCCCTCTGGATAATATGCTCCAAGATAATCGCAATTTTTCACACAGTCTCTATCACGGAATCCATAGAATATTCTGCTAATTAGCTGGGTGTGCGCATTTGTACAAAAGTAAGCAATTGCATGAAAATAAAGCCTCTAGAAAAACCAAGTTTTGGAAATTGTTTTACGAATAAAAAAACATTTTTCAAATTAAATTTATTAAATTGATTAACTGCGCATAGTTGGAAATATTTACAAGTTTCATTGTGTGATTACTTAAAATATTTGAACATACAGCTTTATACGCGAAAATACCATTAAACACAGCAACACAAGTAAGAAGTAAATGTCTTGGTTGTTTACCCAACCCGTCTATAGTTTCCTTAATAATCTCAGATTGGTTCTGTGATAGAAAACTTTCGGTGTACGCTTAGAAAAGACACAAACCTAAAGACAAAGTAATAAACAAT